GCCATACAGACAGTGTAGAGCCAATATTCATAACTTCGACCACAAAACTGATACACACATATAGACAGCATAATCATAACCAGTAAACCATAACCTTGTCCTAGACACCCCATTTGACCCCCTTTATACCAGATTTGGGTGCCACTACAGGACCTTGGTTGCAACAATGATCTATACGGTCCCAGTTTATGTCAATAACGTCACAGCTTGATGTGGGTATCACAGTATAGGCAGGGAACTGTGCAGCCTGAAAAAGCCCTGGTCAGGAGGGAGAAAAACATGGGTCTCTACTCAACAGAGGTGATGGCTGAGGAGCTGGGAACCTAGAGTGGGTGCAGGTGCAGTTGCCCCGAACTGTGACACTGGCTTCCCTTTAGTGTTTTCTTATTAAGAACCACCCGTGGAGCCTGATAAACCACTCACTGAAATCAATGGAAAGACTCCCATTGACTTCAGTGAGCAATGGATCATGTCCTTGATATGCTTGTGTCCATGGCTTGCAGCAAGTAGACTGCTATGCTGACAAATGCCTGTGATACAATAAACGTTGTTGGAGCAGCATTAAGGCTCTGTAGGATGAGTGGTGGGGCAGTGTCAGAAGCATATGTCTAGACACTCTTCAAGCACTTCTGGAGGGAACAGTCTGTGAACCAGCTAGAAAAGACTGTCAGAGCAGCATGAGGAAAACCACAAAGCAGCAGCCAGTTCCCAGTTAAACCACTTTCATTAACCTTCACAGTCGCTGTTTGATAAAAGAGAGATGTTTGCTGGATTCTCTAAAGCCAGTGAGCCAGAGCATTTGTTTGTGGCTATTTTAAGAAGAAATTTTGTTATGAATTATGTAGATTTACATATAAACATAGCTTCTGACATGTGTACTGAAGTAGCCAAAATATCTATGTGCCATTATTCAGCATTAAGTGGATGGATATGAGAACAGCAGCAGTTCAAAATGTTGGCAGGCTATGTCTGTACAGTATAGGAAGTCATTCATAAATTCAACACAAGTAACTTTGTGGGAGTGATCTCCAAGAGATCACAAGTCTGTAACATTTTTCTTGTGCAGAGATCACAAGTCTGTAACATTTTTCTTGTTTGTCCATTCTTTTGCAATGCCACTTCTTATAAACCAAGGCCTTCAATAGGAATTCTGCCCACATATTAGATGAAAGAGGGTGTGGGCCAACCCATGTGGGCATGAGACACTTTCTTCCAGTCACTAACATTGTTTACACTTAATACAAGCATGATTCGCTCCGCCCTTCAGATTTAAAGTGGTCATATTTCTCAGCAAGCAAAATCATGATGTGATTTCAATAGTTTAGTCAAAAATTTCTCCAGCAATAGTTCTGATAATTTCCAGAATGTTTGAACACTGAGGGTTTGAAACCAGAACCTGCAGAGCTAAAATATGAGCCTCAAAAGCACTTAGCAGTAAGCTCACTAATCTCTTATATGAACCAGTCACTAGAGAGGAAAATGGCTCCATGTTTTCCAAGCAGGGGTTACATGTGCACAGATTCAAATCACATGGGACAAAACTGATCAAAGCCCTCTACATTTTAAATAAAAGGGCAAGGGATTCAATTACTCTGTACTTGATGGGCACATGATGAAATGGACAAGCTGCAAAAGAATTATTGTGGAAGCTGGGGTCTAATGTACATCACTCCCTGTGGCTAGATATCACATATAATCTTGCTGGAGAAGTTTTGCTTTGGTTTAGGGATAATGTGACTGATATATGGTGGTTTCCAGTTTGTGATATAACTATTTTATATGGTTATGTTAACCTAAAGTGGTTTGGATTTTAGCTCTTTCTCCCTCTGTTTAAAAGCATGTATAATTTAAGCATAAGTGGAACAGAGAATATCTTCTATGGAACTTGAAGGAGAAAAAACCCACAGCATTAACTGAAAAGAGGATTTGAAAGGGAACTGCTCAGTATCCATGCAGACTCACCAGCTGAGTGTCTCCTCATTTGCATACAGAAGCCTAAATCCATGTGTTCTGTAAATGCCAGAGGCAGCTGGCGGGTGGAAGGAGATCACCAATCCTGGGTCTCAAAGCTCAACTCAGGCTGCTTTAAACAATTCCTATGTGGCTATGCTCAAAGGGACTGCTCTACCAACTGGGGCTCACTGGAGGGCAGTATCCTCAGGCCACACCCTCAGAATGTCCCTCTGCAGTAGGTGCTTGGAATTGGAAAGGCGTAGACTAGATACCAGCTCTGTGCCACCCAAGAATGCCCCTACGCCAGGAGAATCCCCATTTGGGAAGAACCACTGGCTTTCTTGCCCCTTTGCACTGCTGTTGGAGCAGCACAAAGGACCTGGAGTGGAGCTCAGGACTGACCTCAGAGGGTATGAAATACTCTGTGTTTGGGATTGAAATCAATGGGACTTAAGCATGTATTTAAAGTTAAACACATATTTAAGTATTCTGCTGAATCAGGGCCTTGATCCTGAGTTTTAATTATTTTTATTTTCTATTCTTTTCCATTTTTTAAAAGTTCAAATTTTAGGTACAGCATTCCTGTGGTGATTGACTTTTATTAAGATAAGTTTTTTGGCAGTACACATATATCCTAAGACCAGGAGAAACAGATTTCAACTTGGGGCAATGGGTTGCAATCGAAAAACTTCATTTAATTTATGGTTTAAAAATGGGCAAAGACATCGGATTTAAGTGTTTAAATAGGAGCGGAGCTTTCTGAAAATCTGATCTAAGAGCCGGTGTGTCAGAGATGACATTCCTAATGGGTTAGAAATACTGTGATTTGTAGCTTTCTCCCAGTTCCTTCTTGTAAATGTGAGTCATTATTGTCTCCTCTTGGAATGTCACCCAAGAAAGTCCAATGTGGAGTTACTTGTATTCAATAGGTGGCAGTCAATATGTGAACTGGTCTCTGGCTGTAAAATTGACTTTAACAATTTAGAGACCACTGAAACTCTGTAGATCTTTGGGGGAGGAAGTAAAGAAAAATCAAACTGCGGTATACTGTATATTTGCTGCAGACCTGAGAACAAAGAAAACAACCTTGTGGGACAGAAATAATTCATTACTGCTAACTTCCATTTGTTTCAAAGTGTTTTGTAAACGTATTTGTCAATGCTCTTAAAAAATCCTATGTGGACTAACTCATGCTTCTCTGCACCAGAGGAGCAAAAAGGAAAACACGCTGGGTCAGATTCTGCTACTCTTGCTCATGTAGGGTAGCATTCAAGTCAATGTGACTATTTATGAAGGAAGGTGGTTCCCAGCATAAATAAATATATCAGATTGGGGGCATTTGTACTCTTTAATTTTGTGCAATACTTAGATTGCATAGGGATTGGTGCATTATAAAAATGTAAGATTAAATAGATAGGGGCATGGGATTATTTAGAATGGAATGAATTATAATGTTCGTGTATCTGAGGGAGTGATAGCACTTGGTTTGAGCCAAGTGATAGTGAACATTATGGAAGCTTCTTCCATACAGCTCTTCTAAGGGTACGTCTATACCCAGCCGCTAGTTCGGCGGCTGGCAATCGAACTTCTGGGTTCGACTTATCGCGTCTTGTCTGGACGCGATAAGTCGAACCCGGAAGTGCTCACCGTCGACTGCGGTACTCCAGCTCGGCGAGAGGAGTACCGCGGAGTCGACGGGGGAGCTGCCTGCCGCGTGTGGACCGAGGTAAGTTTGAACTAAGGTACTTCGAACTTCAGCTACGTTATTCACGTAGCTGAAGTTGCGTACCTTAGTTCGATTTGGGGGTTTAGTGTAGACCAAGCCTAACAAAACTCAATCCAAACCCAGGAGACCCTATTATTGTGATTTTTTCCCCTGGGCATACACTAGCAAGGTTTCCAATCATGGAATGGCTGTGTGACATGGAGAGGCTTGTAAAGTTACAATTTATATAGACTTCTCTGTCACAATATGACATTTTACAAAGCTAGAGATGTCATCGTGGAGAGATTAGGGCTTGTTTTCCGAAATCCAGCTTGAAAATGTTGAAAAGTAATTGAGTGACTATGTTTTAGAGATGAACATATATTAAAACCCATGTTATGACCCCAAATCTTGATCTGGACCTCAGATCTGAGTTCATAGCTTGTACTTATTTAATGGGCTGAATCTAAACGCTGGATCTGAATATCCAGTTCTTTGACAAATTCTGGATTCAGATCCAGATGTAGAATTAGTATCTAGGGTTTGATTCAGGCCCATTTCTACTATTGTTTCCCCAAGAAGCCTTTCCATTACAAAAAGTTGGAGCCAGGGTAATTTTCCAGTGGATCACTTTAATGTATTTACAGGAAGGTCCAACATAAAGGGATTTTAGGAACACAAAATGCCATGTAGCACACTAGCCTTCTTTTTTTTTTTAAGTTCTAAGTCTTTTTCTCTATCCTCACAGATTCCTTCCTTCAGAAAAGATCTAGATATTTCTTGAACTCCTTTAGGCTCTTTGCTTCAATCATGTCCCTGGTAATTTACTCCATATATTATCCTTTGTGAGAAGTGGCCCTTCCCTACTTATTCTGAAAGCCAAATTCTCGACTAAGTTCCATCAGTTTTACACAGGTGATTCTTGAGGAGTCACACCAGCATAATACTGACGTAATACTGTGGATAATCTGGCCCTGGATTTTTACTTCTTTTTAGTCCCCCTCATCAGAACATCTTTTTCATAAACTTTGAGTGAAGAGCTGATAAACATAGAAACTGAACATAACAAATAGCAGGGTTAGTCAACTTGTCAGCAAGGTATGGAAGCAAACTCGAACCTGGAAATCTGCTCATTCAGCATCTGGGTCAGTTTAAGTAAAAACTAGGCAAGACGAATTATCAAAGGGATCTCTGGCCCATATGACCTTGTCCTTTTCTCTAAAAACTTTCTGTGAAAATCTATTTAGTGTCATGAAGCATATAAAATGTAAAAACTGCCTTCCCAAGACTCAGAAGTCTTAGATTTAGAAGTGCATCAGAAGAGGACTAAGGAAAATGAAAGCCAGATGTTACTTCAGGAGCTACAAAAACAGTATGATCATCCATATGGTTTCATGAAACTTCAAAAGATGGCTCAAGGTAACAGGTGGTTACTGTGTCTCAGTGTTCCATATTTGGAGCTAAAATAAACACTTCCTACGCTTATCCTTTAATACAGGAACTCCATTTATAAAATGGACCATATAAATCCAGTGATCTGATTGGTCACTGACTAAGCTATTGAGAGGTCAGCAGGAAGGTTTGGAATTCATTTACTCAGTCACACAAAATATCACTTTGCCCAGTTTCAAAAAACAGATTTTAGTGGTGAGGAATGAGCTGTCAGATGAAAGCACAAAACAGAGAATAACAGTTTTGGAAATTTTAAAAATCTTTTTCTGTCTCTTCAGGAGCGGGATATAGATGGGAAGCGGAAAATTGTATGTCAGGAAGATAAAGGTGAAAATGCGTGTGGAACAATTTCTTTTTGGTAAATGACTCGTAACAGTTTTAAAACTCCCCATTGCTGGAAAGGAGAGTTGACAGCCCACTGGAAGGACCTGGCTTCATAGTTATCAGAGAGGGAGATTTGGAATACTTAGGTTCCCGAGAACAACAGGCTCAGATCCTGACAGAGTGATATAACATGCTTCTGAGACACACACAAGTGCTGGCAAGACAGAATGAGTTTATTTCTTGGCTCTAGTCACCTGACCTGGGTCAGGGATTCAACGGTTAATGCCTGTCAGATGATAGAAGTCAATACTAGAACAAGTGGGAAAAATGAGAAAATGTATTGTAAAAAAAAATCATCCCTTTTTTCATCAAAAAATCAAAATTCAGATTTTTTCAGTGAGCTCTGGTCAGTACCACACATCTTACTGTGTCCAGGGTTTTTAGGTGAACCCTTAAAACCTGTCAGCCCTTTATTGACATGAAAGATCCCAAGATACTTTTGACAAAAGTATCGGGGTTCTACTGATCGCCATATTTGGGGTCAGGAAGGAATTTTCCTCCAGAGTAGATTGGCAGAGGCCCTGGAGGTTTTTCGCCTTCCTCCACAGCATGGGGCAGGGGTTGCTAGCTGGAGGATTCTCTGCGACTTGAAGTCTTTAAATCACAGAATTTGGGGACTTCAACAGCAGAGTCAAGGGAAAGGGGTTGGGTCAGCTTTTGTGGCCTGCATCATGCAGGGGGTCAGACTAGATGATCATAATGGTCCCTTCTGACTTGAAAGTCTATGAGTCTAAGAGCAGGCATTTACTTCATGACTTTGACCAAAGAATCATCCATTCCTCCCCACAAATCCACAGTTGACTGTCTGCTGGTTTCCCACCCAGAGGTGGCTCCATTTCAGAGGAGCTATAAGTAGATACATTACATGAAAGGTGCTCTGTATCGGTGCAATATTATTACTCCAAGTTTCCTGGGCATAACTCAGGTCTGGGAAAAAAGGGCTCTTGTGCTAGAGAAATGGGACCGTTATTCAGAACTGTTGTTCTACCTCCTCTAATAATGTGCAGAAATTACCTGGGTAGCATCAGTTTGTCAGTGAGGCAGGCAGGAAATCGTTTATTTATGACAAGAATAGTTCCCATGCAACCCCATCAGCTAAAAGCAGATTGTATTGGGTGTGCGTCTGGCCAGAATTTGAATCTGACTGTTTAATGGGAAAGTCACCATGGAACAATGAAAATACATTTTTTTAAAACTGTAAGACAAGGCAACAGACTCCTCCAACACCACCTACTTGCCTAATTGCTCACAGTGCTCATGGAGATTATGCATTACATCACCTCTGCCAATCCTTGGTAACTCACAAAGTACTTTAGCAATGCTTTAGAAATTGAAACACAAGAGAAAAATCATCCATATATTTTTTCCTTGACCTAAATCTCCCATCCAGCAGACGTTTCAGGCTAGTTTGCAGGGAACTGGAATACAAGTTATCTCCTCACTGCACAAGTAAATGCATTCAGGCACTCCAGGTCACGCATTGCGTTATGTAGTGTAATACATCTCTGGTGCTTGAGACTCCAATGCACACCCTGTCATGGGTTGTTATTAATTACCTATAGCACACACAAGCACCAAGGGAAACTGGGACACTGTGCAAGGCAGTGTCTGGTAGATCCAATGAGGTAGTACTCTGATTAAATGAGATGAAGGTCACTGAACACAGCAGGCTGCATTCTCTACTTGATGCATGCTCCTAACTCCCATTAATAGTAATCGAGGGGAAGCTGTATTGCTGGCCGGACTAAGCGAGTCTTAACTGATAAGGCAAGTTTGTTGTTGTGAGTGGGCAAGTTCAGGATTATTTTTCTATACAGGCCAGATCCCCCCAGGTGTCAATTAGTACAGTTTCAGTGAAGTCAATGGGGC